ATATAATTCTCTATTGATATGCTAAAAAGACATTTGGGATTGGAGTTTTAAAGGCAGATATCCACCAGGGAGTTGTGGGCTAGCAGAGGGTAGCTGCATAATCAGCTCTACCATCAGCCAACTGATATTCTGCATAATAGAGAGGGGATTTCTGGGTCAGTGTGTGTCTGTGTGTGTTGTGTATTTGTGTGGCTGTAGCAATGTTGGTGGGGGTCTATCCTTTTATCCACACGGATGTGTGCATGTCTGCATGTGTCCTATCCGCATGTGTATGTATGTGTTCCCTCCACGGCTTGGTGTTTACGTGTGCATGTGTGTATCTGGGGCTCTGACCCTTTACCCCACCGGGAACAGATTTCATTAGGGAACAGAGAGTGAGGTACACGCAGACAGACAGACAGACAGAGAAATAGGAAGAAAAAAATCAGGGGACCAAATGAATGAAAGATGGGCAGGGGGCAAGTAAGGGTAGCTTTAGAATGTATTAATAGGTCAAAGGTCACTTCATTTTCACAACAAGGAAAAAGAGCCAATGCAAAAGAAGCCATGACCTTTTGTAATTCACACACACATATGCACGTTTGTATGAAGCTTTTTCCAATTAGACACTTGACCCAATGCTAGGTTTAGCCTAGCGGTAAAAATATCTGCCCATCTGTCCTCCACACGAAAGAGAAGACCCCACAATGTGTCTGTGTAAACAGTTTTATGGCCCTACGACATGATTAATACCTGGTCCACTTTTTCTCAAACAACCCAGCTGAACAATCTAGACTTAAGTGTGGTTTAATTAAGTTGCCGTGCGAGTGTTTGAGGTGTAGGAAATGGGTGAACAAGGCATGCAGGGTCGCTTGATAGAAGGTTAGAAGATTGCGTGTGTATAGCAGAAAATGAGACTGTCAGGTTCCATGTGTGTACAAATGCACCCGTGGTGCTCTCTGTATTTGTGTGCTTCAGTGCTTCTGTGTGGAAGGTGTGGGTGTATACACATAGGTTTACTGAAAAATCAGAGTCTTGAGCCGACCAGTGTTGCAAAAGGCAGGTTAAAACTTTTTAAGTTTAAAAAAAGAAAAAATAAAGATGAGGAGAAGAGGAAGATAGGAAGAAAAAAAGTTGTGTAGCAATAAGCATTAGAAAAACTAAAGGAACAAATGTGATTATTGCTCATATTCAGTTATAAGTTATTAAAGGAAAATTAGGTCATATTCAAAGAAAGCAGGGTGAAACAGAGAATAAGTTGATTGATGAAAAATGCCAGGATAATCTTAGAGGAAAAAAATGGCATCGAGGTACAAAGCAACCACAACAGAAGCCCAAAACCTTAACAAAGCCCACCACCGTATGATCACACCACACCACACCACCGTATGAGTGTTGTGGTTTATCTGACAGGACGTTCCCATATTTATTACAGTCATAAACTAAACTGCCCGTGTGGTCAAATTACAGTATCTTGGCTCACACATGTGTAAAAGATCAGGTTCTTTAGTCATTTGTAGGACAGGTTTTACTGATGCTTTTTGTAAAAAGTTTGCTTTTTTACTGCCCAAGTTCTTGTCATGTTCTTTTTTCCACGACTGAATTTCGATTGCTGGCTCTTGAGTCGCGCCTTCCTATTTGATTTGTAACATGCAGGACTCATGACATTAGATAACTTCAAATGTTATTCACGGATGTGTATTGCCTTGAAGAAAGTGAAGGATGAATGGTTTAAGGATGAGAGAAAGATCGATGGATATAGAGAGAAGAAAATCCGGAGAAACAGCCAAAGGGAAGCAGAGCGTTGAGAAACAGACTGAGAAACAGACAGACAGCTAGGACAGAGATTGAGTGAGAGTCAGAGACAGAAAAAAAAGACAGGGAGAGAATTAAAGGAACCACAACAGAAGCCAAAAGCCCACTAAGTCTCCTACTCCTTATGGTGGCGGGGTGTGGTGTTGGGGATCTGGCACAACTTCCTACAGTACAGCCCCTTTCTAAACATCTCATATATACACCCAGTCAGACACAAAGTCACGGCTAACCACATCACAATTTGGTGCATATGTGTGTGTGTGTGTGTGTGTTTGTGCATGTGGGAGTGTGTGCAACCACTCAGCTCAGCTGCTCCCAGGCTCACAGAAAGCATTGGCTGCTTGAGCGTGTCAGAACGGTCTCTTGATCTCATCTGTCTTTTTATTGCCTAATCCCTATCTGTATTTTCTTCCATTCTCCCCTCTTATATACCCCTCTTATTGCCCTTCATCTTCTCCCTTCTACCCAACAATCCCTATCAATACAACGTTAGTTTCTCTGGAAGCATTTTTCAGTTCATACCAGTAAAAGTGTTTCTTAAGTAGTGTACCGGTAATTCAGTAAGTTTGACATCTGTCTAACACACTGAGCCTTTCTAAGCATTCCTGTTTTTATGGATGAGATTCAGATCGTAGCCGGCCCTCCATATGCGTCTTTCACGCACAATCTCAATGGGTCGATAGTCCGATGAGGTTTTTGGCTATGAATGTTTCATCCTGGTTTACATAACAGTAGCTGAGCTCTTTGGTAGCACATTGTGAATGTGTGATTACAAAGTGCTGTTTGTTCTACTCAACCTCTTTTTATTCTCTGTCTGACTGCGCTTTAAATTTCCCTCTTCTTTGTTTCTTATTTCAGATAAATACTTTTCATTTGCAACTTACCTCATTACATAACATTCAGTTTGTGTTGTTAAATTTTGCAGACAGGAGTACATAAAGAAAAACAACAGTGTAACTGTAACTAAAGGTCCTCGTTTGTACAGTTTTGTTACTTTGGGATACCTTTAATTTTTAAATATTTTTTTTTATATGTAGCTGCTTTAACATTGATGGAATGTAGAAATAATTTTGAATAAATTATGATTTTAAACTAGAAATGATGCTTGAAATGAACAAAGCAAAGGGAAACAATGTAAAGAAAATCTATGGTCATGTTTGCATGTCTATGAGACTATACATCATCACAGACGTTCTAAATGCTAGCATGTTAACAACAATTGGATAGTGAAAAAATCCCTAATTTTATGTGCCAGTTTAAAAGAAATCAATAAAAATCTGTTCAAATCCTGATGGGGACATGACATTTGTGTACCAAACTACATGGCAGTCCATCCAATATATGTCAGGACATTTCTCTTATCAACCTCAGCAATCCCGTTGAAGCACTCCAGACTGGGCATGTTGTCGTGCACTAGCTAAAATGTGTTATTAACTGTTCCTTGATTAATGCACTTATATGTGGAAATAAATCTGTCTGGAGGCCATCTTTGAAAGGCAGAGTACAAAAGTAAAACCGTTCCCCACAAGGCAATTTCCTTAGCAGACAGTAGACCAACACAACACAATACATAATTATAGTACATCGTACAAAACACAATACAAGGTCCAAATATCCTACACTGTTAGAAAAACAAACAAAAAGAAGAACAGATGGAACAAAGGACAACCTGTATCTATTAGTATTATCTTCGTACAACTTAAACTTTAGCCCTAATAGAAGCATCTGGAACTCGATGTAAAGGATGCTGACAATCCCAAATAGTGGTTGTAGCTTGAAGAAAGATAGCTGTAAGTCAGCTGTCAGTGGAAACTAAAACGTACCTCTACAAAGATTATAAGAGTCTAAAAAAACAAATTTTATTGTTGTTAGAAAATTTGTAATATTGTGGCACAAGCAGAACTTTCAGGCTGTGCCTTTTTGCTTCAGAAGGTCAGTATAAGTCTCAGCAGACGAGTGTCTGTGCTTTTGATTATTAAAGTAGGAATTAATGTCATCGCCCTTGCAGACAGACAAAAAGCTGTCTTGTGTCAGTTTTTCCAATATTTGCACATTTAATCAGCATCAGCATCTTGATCATCTTAATAATGTGCAAACCTTCAGATGCATTGCCTCAAACAGTCCGTGCTATTATTGAAATAAACGACACCAGAATCTTTTGATTCTACGAGCTCAATTTATGTACATGAAAACACAGCCTGCATTTCATTCAGTTGTCGCATGCAGTGCGCCTATAATTAGAGTGATTTACTGAGGCAACAGATAATTATATAATCATAGGCTGTGAATGTGTTGTATACTCATTTAGGGAGTGAAGCTGGAATCGATATTTCTACACATAACCGAGGTTGCTTTAGTTCAAGAGGAAGCAGTATAATAAAATATTGCCTAAAGCTTGAAAAGTTGATACTTGTTTAGTAACATCCAATAACTTCTGTGTCTCAATTAGATTCCTATCAGTTATCCTAATATGCTCTTTACTGAGTGATGGAAACGTAATTAGAATCTTTCATTTGTTGCATAAACATCACAGATAAGGCAGTGTGTCTGCTTCAATTGGAAATACAGTATATTACAATCCAATGAGTACGCCATCACCTGTGGTCCAACATCAGCTCCAAAAGCTGCTATTGCTATAAATTTTAAGCTTTGGAGCTAAAAGGAAGTATAGACGCCACCATGTATGAGTCAGGTCCTCTAACCACCCATAAATGTGAAAATAGTTAATGTGTTTCCATGCTGGTTCAAATGTCTATTTCTGCATCATTTGTGGTCCCAACCTCAGTTCCTTCTTCTCTAAACCAATAAGATGTATGAGTCAGGTTCCTTTAGCCATTTATAAGCATGGCATTGAGCAGACAGCCACCCATAAATGTCTTTGCCTGTGTCTCCAACTATTGCCAAAAGTCTTATTGCAGGGACTCTAAATGTCTTCTTAACCTGTTGATGAATATGTTTTTTCACTTTTCAAGATTTCAGGATGTGTTTCGTAGAAATAATATATGTCTTTTTTCGCAGGCAACTCTTCTTTCCTCTCTCCTTCATAAAAGTCGACATTTTACTCTATCTCCTTATTTTTCATTCTGTCAGTGTTTCTGACTTAATCTCTTTCTTAGTGTTTGGTGACTGTGTATGAATCAGGCCTTCTGGTGCATTTAGTTACATTTTCCTCCTTTTTTCTCTTGCTCACTGTCATTCTTTGTCAGGTCCTCTTGGCCATAGACTGAAATGCTGACAGACGATGCCCATGAATGATGAATGATGACTGGAGGTCTGTCTGGTGCCAGCAGAATGCATAATACAGCATCGATACAGCAATCGCAGTCCTCCTCAGCAGAAACATGGTGCAGTTTCTGTATCACATTATTGGAAGATTTGCCCCAAGCAGGACAGCAGGACCACTCAAAGTGGAAATCAACCGCAATGTTGAATGTTGTTTCGGTTGGAGTCCTAAATGAAGCAGCATTACAAAGAGTTTTCTGGTGAGTGCTGAAATGATCATGTCAGGATAAAAACAATAACCCGAATAGATTTTTTGTTAATCTTGTTATACACATATGTCTTTGTTCTTATCTCTGTATAGGATAAACCATATTTAATCTTAATCTACTCTAACGTGCTGTAATGTGACCAGATATTATAGCTACAGCCTTTCAGTTTGTATATATGTGATTTACATTTTATACTTTATAGGTCTTTGTTTGGATATGTTTCATACTTTTAATGTGGATGTGAGTTCATATCTTTTTTTGCATACAGTCAGTGTGTATGTGTGTGTGTTTGCAGTGGGTGAATGGAAGCACATATACATTGACTTGAGGCATGTTTACACTTCTGCATTTATGTGCTACTGATTAGGTGTGAAAAGTGGCACCCAGAGTGTATGGGGAGTGAACTATATGTGTCTGCATGCAGACCCCTATAGTCTAGGGATGTATGGCAGTGTTGAAGCATGTTGTGGATATATTACTGTGTGTGTGTGTGTGTGTCTGTGTATTCCTAGTATGTAGGTCATCGGTGTATTCCTGATGAAATGTAGTCCTCTGGAGAACCCTACAGATATGAGGGCCTAAATTAGACACTATTATCTGTGTGTGTGTGTATGAGAGAGAGAGCTATACACATTTGCCGGACCAGAGCTTCACAGACATGTGTTTTCAATTTTGTGCATGCTTTTACATGTAAGAGCAGCATCACGAGTGTGTGTTTGTCCATCTGTGTGCGTAGGTGTTAAATTGCATGTAATTTCAAACATTATGTATTTATGTATGTGAATGAAAATGACACAGTGGTATCATCTGACAGACTCGTTGCCTATTATCACTGACCTGGGACTGTAAACCTCGGCCCTTGATTTTAACGACTGTTGGCACAGAAAGCCTGTCCATATTGTCACATTACCAAGCCAAACTGCTAATAAGCCTCAAGCACCACTCCAAGAAGAGTATGTGACCAAATGTAGGAAACACACACTCTGCTGCATAACATACACAAGAGGTGCATTTGCAGGAGTGATGAAGTTAGTTTTAAGGGTGACTGACTTTTATAACATGTAAAAAAAGTGTTTGATGTCTTTTTGTACGTCTTTAACACTGAAATTTCAGTTTTGGAAATCCATTCAAAGCTATTACTCTTACATCTTGGTGTTTTGTATAGCTGCTGTTGGAGAAACAGGGCAATGATGATTAGGTTTCTTTAAAGTATACAGGACATACATATTTTGTGTCACTTTCTAGATACAAAATGTGTCTTTCTGAATACCCTGTGATCTTAGTGCTGTTGAAACATTACATATAATCCCCTTTCATTTCGAGATGTCTACATTTCCAGGCAGCCGACTGTCAGTAAGTCACAGGGACAATATGCAGTCAATCTGTCAAACCAATTCAGAATTTTGCCAGAGCTCAGCCCAAAAGTTATATTCAACCTGAGAGAGATGAATGGGAGTGAGAATGTCTACCTTTGAAAAGCTTCATGCTTTGACCAAATCATATGCTGTCACTCCTAAGCTTTAGAAGGCCTGCACTTTTCATCAAAGCCGTTGATGGCTACCTTTCACAGTACTGTCGAATACACCCTCAAAAGCTTCCCTCCCTCCTTTCCTTCCATCCCCTCCCAAATCTCTTTCTTCTTCCCTCCGATGTCTACTACCCCCCTGCCCCTCCACCCAATCCTTCCATTCCCCTTGTCCTTAATCCCTCCCCTCCCTCCTCTCCTCAATCAAACCCTCAAATCCCTCCAGGTTTTTTTCCCCCCTGTGTGTATGTGTGACTTCAGTACTGTCAAGATAGATGAAACAAGAAAAATTCAGATTCATCACAGTCATAACCTTCCATGATGATAATCCACTGCTATTCTTCCCTTGTGGCATTAGGCCGATGTTACTGGCCTTTTTGGGGTTTATTTGCATATTTGTTTCCCCTTTGTTTCTTTTGATGAATTATTTACTGTGGAGTAAAAATGACAGCAGAGATCAGTGATGATTGCTGTCACGGGCGGATGTGAGTTCTTTTCTCCTCTTTGTAATTGTTCTCTTCTTTGCTGATTTTCAATCAAGCTTTTTTTTCTTTACTCATATTTCCTGGTGACAACAGACAATAAAGTGGGGGGGAAAACACACAGATATTTTAGCATTGCCAGTGAAACCTTTCCACTGTCTAGCGGGAACGAAGCTTCCTTTGTTGTCGTAGTGATTATAGGGTAGGGAAAAGCTGCAAAAAGAGGAGAAAAGGGAGAGAGAAGGGATCAAATGGAAAAATACTGTGAACACAAATGTGCTAGGGGACCACCTCCCCTCCCCACCCACCACACACACACACACACACACACACACACACACACACACACACACACACACACACAGGGCAATTGAGTGAAAACACACACATCCTGCCCTTCATCATCCAACCATAAAAGAGACTTGATTAGAATAAGATAAACGACTAATAATAGTCGAGCAGTGCAGTTTGCGATCCTTTCAACTTTCTAACTGGAAACAGAAACGTCTTGCTGAGTTTCCAGGAGCTTAAGGTTTAGGCAGCATGTGTATTTGCAAACAAAACAATGTCTTTCGAGTTGTAATCACAGTGAGCTGTGTCCACATGCCTTGATTGTAAAGCCTCAGAAACATTGTCTTCGCAGTGTGTATCAGGATCTACCCTCATGTACACACACTTCCACGCGCGCACACACAACACACACTGCCACCCTGTCCCTGTGTTGGCCTATCCAAGAATAACAATGCATAATTCATGTTCCAAAGTCTCGTCTGCAGACAAAAGTCAGCGCTTGCATTTATTATTTATTGAAAACAGCTCACATGATGAATCCTTTAACAAACAGACTAAGCACTGTACCTATTTCTTTTTCTCATGCTGTTTGTGTTTTGGCATAGATTTAAGTAGGCTCATTAGCAGAGATGAGGATGCGAGGAGAGGAGAAGAATGGCAGGGAAGAGAGAGGTGAAGTGAGCCTGTGTGTGTGTGAGAGAGAGAGAGAGAAAGAGGAAATGAGGCGAAGGGATAAAGGGATAATTTTTTGAAAAGGTGTGAATTAATGAGTCTTGGGCGTCGCAGACTAATTAATACAAAAATGAAATGCTTTGAGCGCTAAGTTTAAGGCCTTCATTACATTTAAACAATGAAAGTTTACCCCGCTAACCGCTGGGTGTTTGACTTTACTTATTTACTTAACTGCACTGAAAAACCTGGATGTAACAGATTTGTGTTGCTACATAATAACCGAATCTTTTTTCCATGGCTGTTGCAGTGCTGCAGCAGTGCTACACTCCAGCAGAATCAGTCCAAGCAAACACCCGTGCACACCCGCTTTCCAATGTCATGGCTGCACTTGTTGTGTGGGCAGTTTGCCTTGAAGACGGGGAGCAATTTATTGTAGAGTGAAGGGACCCTGTGCTATCCTATGCTAATGCAGTCATCATTTATTCCAGAGTACTTGTATTTTTTTCTCTCTCTCTCTTTCTCCTTCTACTCCACCCCCTTCACCATCCATCACTCTTTCAAGCCATGAGGTATTATCTTTGCGGAACGTTTTATATTCAGTCTTCCTTTAGATGGGTGGAGGCGCGCGCACACACAGTCATTTTTGTTAAATAAAAACGCAATCAAATCTGGTCTCGCAAAGGTTGAATAATTGATGCGTTATGTTAAAAAAGGAATGAAATAATCATAGCCTGTTGGATGTTGGAAGAATATCAAACCCAGCATTGGTGCTTGGCAGACTGGGCTGAGCAGGGTAGGGGCCTTATGTATTTGGGACGGCTGCCCTGTAAAATAATAATGAACAGCAAAGAGTAAGGAGATTAGGAGATTTTTGTTCTGCACTGTACCTGACACTTTGTAAATGCCCACCCATGCTTTTGTTATACAGCGTGACCAGGATCCATCTATCCTGCACTGACAAATCAAAATTTTCTGTAAATGATTCATTTGGTGTGCCATTCCAGCAGCTCTGCAAAAATGGGTGCAGTAGTAGGTACACACGAAGTTGCTGTTGTTATTGCCGCTATGGAAACAATACATCTTAGGCATATTATTTTTTTATTTAACCATTTGCCAAAGCGTTAAATAACAATAATGTTGTCATTTATATTAGATTTTAACAAAGTCACAATACCAGACTAAATAATAAATCTGAATAGCATTCTAATAAACATACTTGATGTTGCAGTGATTCATGGTCAGCTCATCAGCATTCAGCTTTACTGGTCTACAGTATAAGCTCTTAGGGGTGATGAATGAAATAATATTTGCCACTGTAGACTAGTGGGACCTGTTTTCACAGCCATAAAAGTCAGCTATGAATATATACATAGTGTACATCTCTTTATGGATCATGCGTACACATCCACAAACACAGACTCCAAATAATATCATTGTTTCAAATGAAGATGAACTGTTTTTATAGTAAGGAACACCTTTAAGATTGTGCCCATTTGGTATGTAGCAACCGCGCAAAATGAGCATATTCATTCACAGCTCCACTGAGTCGTGTGCAGCCGAGCATTGCTCACCGATAGCGTTTTTATTAATGTTTCAGATTTCCATTAACCAGATGTGTCTGGGTCAAGAGGTGCATTTGTCCTCTCTTTTAATGTGGTGATTGCAGCTAGGGTTTTATTGATACTTAAAGATGCTGTACAGGATGCTGTGTGAGCAGCATGATAAGCTGCTTGATTGTAAGCAAGAAGGGCAGGCAAAAAAATATGTGTGTGTGTGTCTTGTTCGGGGATCACTGAGACAAAAACTTGTCATTTACTTATATATTTATTTCCTTCTTGATTCACTAAAGGATAATATGAAATACACTCAGCGTGCATTAGGCCTTTATATATTCAGCGCACCAGTGCAAACCTATAGACAGCCACAAAACATGTACAAACAGTGCCATTTTATCTGTGCTTCTCAGTTTTTCTTATTCTGCCAAACCCTTCCCTCCATCCCTTTTCTGTGCCCTCTGACTAGTCAAACAGTGTTCTACTCAGGGGGCTTATTTTATTAATTCACCATTTCCTCTGTTACAGGCCACTTTCATTGTAGTCCACATAGCAAGAAGACCACCTCATAGGGATTTTCCTCTTCACCAGGTAACCACAAAGGGTAAAAGAAGCACATTATCCACATGTACAACACCCAACCCCTCCCACACACACAAGCTTTTTGTGCTATATTGTGCTGACCACCGTCGCAGCAGGAAAAACACAAGCGCGCACACACATAGCATATTATCTTTATGAGGTGTTATACACCAGTGACCACCAACACAGGGTCTCAGTGTTCTCTAATCCACACTCAGACTGAAAAGACTGTTCCATGCAGTAGAGGGATTACACTGTCGGATTAATGTGAGTTTTAATTTGAGTCATTTTGAGAGCCCGTGATAATAGGAATAGGTGCAGGGAATAATACCACTGCTCCGATATGAACTGAAATGTGGTACAACTTTATATTATTTTATTACAGCTGAGTCGGCTTCGGTGAAACACACATTGTTTGCGTGCGTGTTTGTCCTTGTTTGTCTCACTGGAGATGAGCACGCAGAAGCTTTATAAGTCTGTGAAACCTGCTATTATCACTATGGCTAGCACAGATATTGGAGTGGCTCAAGGAAAAAGTTTTCATTTAGAGTCACTGATTAGCTGCTTATTGTGCCCAAAACAATTTTGAAGTTATTATGAAAAGAAGGCAAAATGCATTGTTTGGAATTTTATTTATTTATTTTATAGATTTTCCACTTTTAGAGATTTCAGACCTGCAGTGAACAAACATTACTCTGCTTTTTTCCCCCTCAATCCTCATCAGTTTGTATCAGCATGTTACTGCTTTTCAGCCTGTTCTGACTCTAAATGAATCAAATGCTGCTGTTGTGTTATCCAACAGTGGTTGGAGAAGGCAGCATTACCAAAACTATTTTGACTTTGTGCAATGAATTTGTTATATCATTGTCTTTGAAATGGTTGTTCTAAAGATGGGGTCCACTTGTAGTCAGTTGTTGTCTTCAAAGCAACTTCAGTGCATCAAGATGGTTATAAAAAGGGCAATAAGACTAAGGTAGTTCGCTGCTATCAGTCTGCTATCAGTGAATGGAGTTAAGTTGCCATTCGCTTGCAATCTGTTTGTGAATTTGGTGAAAATGGCAAATCTGTTTCTGTCTGCTTACAAAAGAAATTCACATTAAACAGAAATTTATGTCCAGTAAGAACCTTATAGATCTGAAAGAGAAATTCAGAAACGGCTCCACAAATAGTGACATAGTTGCTCTAGGAGGGCAAAATGACAGGCGCTTGACAACCTATCTTTTCTAAAGGATTGATTCTGAATTTGGCTTCCAGCTCCCTATTGCAAAGAGATGCATCACAGATGAGAAATACTCATTTATGCAGACAGACTCTGATTGCAACATGGTGGGATTGAGTCTACATAGTTTAAGTACCTAAATCTAAACTAAAGGCAATAGGTGAACCCACTGCTACCCTCGCTGACGGCAGCAACTTCTGACAGAAGAGTACTATTTGACACCCAGGGATGAAAACACTGTCTGTTTTCTTTATATTTTATCATTCTTTGTGCATTACCAGTATGAAACAGTTCTTGTGTATAGAACCCAGTGCTTGCAGTCCTCCATTCTAGGCAAAATAAACAACAGCTGCTATCAAATATGGTAGATTAACTCCAAAACAGAGAGAGCCCAGAAACATGATATGATGTTCATTCCAAAGTCATATTCTTATTATACTATTGATACAACTCTGGCAATTGTTATAATCCTAACAATATAATCCTAGAAGTAAGCAATTTTAGTAAAACGTGTAAGTGGTGTTTATAGATCATTCATTTTTTTCTACATGAATAGAGGCAGAAAAAAGCTTTTTCTCTAGAGTGAAGATACTTTCTCTACGAGCAACAACAAAATCATGGTTTTCAGTTCAGCGGATGCGATGTTATATATTGTTGGGTTTTTATTTTCTACTTCTAGAAGGAGGAGAGCTGTTTGGAGTTGGGGTTAAAAAAAGAAGAAGAAGAAGAAGAAGACAGGTTGTATTTTAGTTAATTAAGATTCAGGTTGGATTAATTAGATTTTGCACAGTATCTGTGTAGTGCAATATGGCTTCATCTCCCCTGTAGGAGATTACAACAATCAAATCCCAAATTCTCTGTGGTTGTTGATCCATATTGCTTTTGAAAAACTCACTGCTGAACTGTTCTCTGAAATTGCTTGCTGGAATTTTCATCAGTCTGTTGACTTAAAATTAAAAATAAAAAGTCAATAGATTTGTTAAACAACAGAAATGACTCTTACTGGGAGTGACTGGGAAAGAAATGAATTCCATCACTGCGTAGACCACATCATCTCCTTTGGCTCTGCACCACCGTCCTCTCTCGCTGTGATCAGACAGTCAGTGGTGATTTTATTTTAAATAAAGTAGAGGAAACTACAGTTAAAGTGCCATATCTCAACTTTGACTTGAAGTTTATGTTAAGTTTATGAAACTTACAAAAGAAAAGCTTTAAAAGTAATTGGACATGTGACACTGTGTGGGCAGCTCGTTTTCATACAAAATATGCTGTAATTACGTGCCATCTGCAAGTAAAGACAAGAAAAGCAAATGAAGTAAGCATAATAGAAACACTCAAGAAGCACATCTGATAAAATCAAGGCCATTTGCTTTGCCGAAATCAAACATTCTAAAAACAACGGTGTTCACAGAAGAAATGGCAGGGAACATTATATTAACAACATTGCACGCCATGTTGGTAATGTATTTTGCGTTTTAAAGAACCCCCCCAAAGAAGAGCTTTGAGAACTTTTCTTGAAGGCTACTCAAAGAAATTATTGGGACACTTGCCTAAAAGTTCTAAGGTGGTTATAACCAGTGTTGGGTAAGTTACTTTAAAATAGTAACTTAGTTACATTACTAGTTACTTCTCTCAAAAGTAACTCAGTTACTTCAAGTTACTCGTTACTTTGAAAGTAACGAGTTACTAGGGAAAGTAACTTTGGTTTTACTCAGAATTCTCTTGTTAATGTGTTGCTTCCATAACTTTGCCAGTCTTCTAGCTTGCTTACTTGCCACAGTGCACTGTGCCACCTACCAATAGAAAGGAAAAGATAATGTGCATATTTCCACGAGAGAAATCCCACGCCTGGACCGTCATTGACTGCTGCCATGATTCTAGCCTACGTCACAGACGTCATGTGCGCCTTTTACATCCAACACAAAAACTGCAGTCGTGGTGCTTTGATTGTACTCAGAACTCAGAAATTCTGCCTTCTGAATAGGAAGATGTAGGTAACACCAGACTGCAGATGAGCTGCATACAGGGCTGGACTGGGACAGAAAAATGTGGCCCGGGCATTTTGACTAGAGACCGGCCCACCATTATAGGAAAAATCATAAAGCCTTTGAATGAAAACAAACACTGTTGTGACAGTGATGTACACTGTTCTGATGGTATATATGCATCAATCTATCAATCGTTTGTTGTAAGATTCAGATAATTATTTATTAAAAGCTAGACATTTTAAATGAGAATAAGAAAGAAAAGTATTTCTTTGTGCCCCCCTTTCCCTGTTAATGCCCTACCTGGGCCCCCTGGCAACACTTTGCTAGACCCGCCCCTGCACAGTTACCAGCTGTCAGCTACTTAGAAAAGGATCCTGGTGGTTATTTGTCTCTCAGAAACAGTTCATAACTTCCCTTCAACTCATTCATGTCACCTAAAAGGTAAACCTGTTTCTCCATCACCTGTTCAGCTCTGATGATCAGTAAGGACATCTCCTGGTTTCATCTTCATGTTTCCCTCTCACCAGATAACCAAACCATATCATGACCAGCAGCTTTACAGCTGTGGCTCCAGCAAACATCAGCTGATACTAGAAATTAATATTAAATAAATTCTAACAACAGCTGATCAAGCTTAAACGTGCTGCTGTGTTTAGCCAATCGCTTTCTTCGGCAAAGTGGGCGATAAACAAACAAGAGAGAGCCGATCAGCTGATCATTGATCAGTTTCATGATTGAAGTAGAACAGGAGAGGGAGGGGAGAGATGAGAAGAAGAAGAGGCAGCTGTTAGCGAAAGACAGCAGAAAACTCCAGCTTTGTGTCCTTTTTCCATTGTAGCTGAAATTCGGGACAAACTGTTCCTTTTCAGCCTCAATACAAAACGCTAATATTTTCTCTGAATACCGAGTTTTACGGGACGGTTGGCAACTCTAATTAACTTATGAACAAAATAAAGTTCAACATCATAACTTCATAGCACCCACCCAGCTGTATAGAAACTCCGTCATGCTAGCTAGCACGCAGTACGGAAAAAGTCAGCACTAACGAAAATAAACTCCACCTAAACTTGGTTCATATCTGACCCAGAGGACTGCAGGTCATAACTTCTTACCTGAAGTTCAGTTCACTGACACTTGGACCGGCGGCCGCCTCGGGTCTCTTTCCTCTCTGCTCCCTTTTCCTTCATCCACCTGCTGGCCTCCACCACTTGCTAATGTTACTGAATCTGTGGAAGCTCCGCGATAGCCACCACACGAAGTAACGAGTAACGACCCTATCTAAATCCCAGTAACGAGTAACGCGTTCCTGATTTTGGCATAATAACTAGTTACCGTGCTCGTTACCACAATAATAACGTAGTTACTGTAACGCGTTACTTAATAACGCGTTAGTCCCAACACTGGTTATAACAAACATTGACTTTCGAGCACATTAGAAATGCACAAATTGTGCTTGCACGTTTAGATAAATCACTCAACCTATATCCCATTTTCCAACCAAAATATGAAGAAATGAGGGGTCACTCAAGACTTTTGCATAGTACTGTATATAGGATAATAGCACTCAGAACTCATTAGAGAATGATTAACCTGGACAGCGTCTCATAATTTAACAGGATAATGATACTAAGAATATACAGCAAAAGACATTTTTCAGTGTAAAGAGGTGGAACATTGTTAGTTTGGCAAGCATTTAAGGTCCTCAATCTTGAGAATCCATCAAAATCCATCCATGCAGGCTTCAACCCATGTTCTTGTAGCCAGACCACAGCAGGTTTGGATCTGTCAGTGTCCCATGAGAA